CACATATATATATACATATATACATATATATATATATATATATATATATTATATCGATATTATTATTATTGTTTTATAATATTGTTATATTATTAAATTCTTATATTATCATAATATATTATTATATTATTATACACACATATATATTTATATATTATTATATTACTGTATTATTGTTTTATTTTATTATTATATTATTATATTGCTATATATATATATATATATATATATACACACACACACACATATATATATATATATATATATATATATATATATATATATGTATATGTAATATATATGTATGTATATATGTATATATGTATGTATGTATTTATGTATGTATATGCATATAACTGCATGTCGATTATAGTGTTTGTTGTGTAGACGTGCCACCGAAATAAATATATATATTAGGCAAGTGTCTAAACGTGTAACGCTAAATCAAGATGTACCATCTGTCTGCGTCATCAATTGTTCCAGTTTCTTTATTCGCTACTACTAGGTACAGTTGCCAGTGCTAAATTTGATTTGCTTTGCTTGCTTGTATAATACCGATCAGGTTGACGATGATATGTTGCATCACCTTGATTTGCTCGAGAATCACCCGGATGGCTACATTCGCCGAGTGACACAATTGCATTTTGACGACCCTCATGTTCCTAAAGAAGCACAAGCTTATTTCTTTCACAGTTTCAGGTAAGCAAGCGGCTCCTTTATATAGAGGTTAGGTATGGTCAATTAGGAAATATCCATTTAGCACTCGTTATGTTAATTCATGGCAAGTCCGTCACGACAATAGGTATGGAAGATTATGGAGGTTTATTTTTGCGGCTTCAGCTACTTGAGCTGGTTTTGTAGACAGTGTTAACCTTCACTGTGGTAGGTATGGTAGATACTAAACTCATTCTGTTTCTGCCATAGAGATTGCAACATCATAATTAAACCCATAGTTGGCGCAGAAGCGTCCTCCAGATGCATAGTCTGAGCTGCTCTTCGTTAATCTCGCAGGGAGGCGAATATGTTGACCCGGTACATACCGGTATTGTGCAGCTTAAACCAAACCTTGTTCAAACTAACTTGACAAAAGTTACGCGATCGTAATCTTTCCCCCCCCCTCCTCTCTCTCTCACGTTTGCTTACCATACGTTCTGTTGTCAAACCCCTTTGCTTGATTTTGACACAGGGCCAATGTATTGCCACCCCACCCTACTGGGCTACCCATGTATGAGAGCTTTACCCTTGAGCATGTTGAAGCATACACGCCCCGACATCTGCGACCGCCCAACAATGGTTTCTGGCCTGTCATTTACGCTGCCCTGAGGTGAACACTAGTTATCTGGTGAGGGCGACATGGTTGTCTTTGTGTGGCGTCTGCTTGTGAGAGAAGATACAGCCCCCAACAACTACATTTTCTCTCTCTGCCACAATCTACGGCCGTTTGACAACAGTTTCTGGCCTGTATATATCTAATTTTTGGGAGAAGTCGACCTAGATTTGAGCTTGTCTCGAACTGTGTGTATGGTGCATCAATAGGCTATGGCGCTGGGTTATCCATGTAGCACACACCCCAGTGTGTGGGCAAATCGGCAAATCCACCAGAATGTAGGATTCTCACAGTCTCAAATGGGAGCATACCGGTGTGCCTCCCACCAATCGGCGCTATAAAATGCAGCTTACCCAGCAGTTTTCTACTGCCAGCGTAGGTGCAATCATGGGGCATTTGCCTTGTTGTGGATGATACAGCGCAAGCAGAGCAGACTATGTGGCCAATATAATACAATGTAGCATCTTTGGTAACGATACACTATAGCAGCTCGTAGTGTGCCGGGGTGCGATCCCCCCCCCTGGCGTTGAAGATGACGATTAGACGGCGGTGATGTGAAAGTATATCACCTCCGGCAATGAAATCGGATACTGTGGTTAGGCTTTTCCAGCGAAGATGACGGATGTTGCTTGTCCAGCACAGGATATAGATTGCAGCTTATTGAATGCGGAAAACACGGTATGGCTTATTCGGCACGAACAACGTGGTGCGGCCTGGTGCTATGTGTCCAGATTGTACACAAAAATGTCATCGAGTATTCGGTTTCAATCGTTGTATACAGACCACAAGCTGATGTTGCGGTCTTTCGATCCCGCAGCGAGCAACCAACCCGATCCTACACAATTGTATGACGCCAGCGTCTGTACACTATCTCGATGCCTGATATGTCGAGACAGCCCAAATGCAATTAAAACAATCATCAAAATATCAATAGTAAATTCTTGATGGCCGAACTATCGCGGAAGGGCCACGTCAATAGGAAGTGGTAACAAGACTGTGGTAATAAAAGCAAATTCTTCTGCTGCCCATGGTATAAACTCTATCACACGGACCATAGGTGAACAACGAGTGTTCCAAATCGAGACGACAAGTGTACGTACAAATGAATATAGAGAACACATATGACTACTGAGAGATATGCACACTTTCATTAGCCTGACCTCCCATGACAGTCAAAAAAATTGAGATCGACCGAGATTGTGACAATACATTATGTTCGAACACCCACTTTGGAATACGATTATAAAATCTAGAGTGAAGGTCAAGACACCGTTGTCAGCATACCTTGACAGGACACACAGAGGAGTGCCCTTGCGATAAGAAAAAATCCTCACATTCCCGTCCCATCCTCCCGTCACAACGATTTTCTTATCCTGTCTGTCGAGCGTTGAAGGATATACCAAAAATATATTAGAGCATATTTTATTCTCGCGCACATTTCCAATGTGATGTAGATCTCAGGTAGAGAAAGTAAACTACAAAAGAGACAAAGTGCGCCACACACCTGATTAGGATATCGTTGATTCCAGGGGTTGGCATTTCATAGGTCAGTTTGCCCTTCATTGATGCCTTCCCATCGCCTTTTAATTTAAGGCTTACCTAAGATTCATTCAGTGGTCGATAAGAGTCGAAGTGAGGCCACCCTTCTAAACGTATTGCAATCAATGCTTCGGATATAAGCAACGCGGATCAGTGTATATAAATCGACTACTCATTGGACATCTAGTAGTGATTAAACTCTTAAATCAACGTCGACAACAACTCGTGATAGTTGCGTACCTGATAAGCGATGTTGTCGACGGATCCCGTAGTAAATCCAGTCGCATCTGTGGCGATATCCAAGGTCATGACCGGTTCTGAGTGAGGTTTTGTGTAGCACACGGCCTTTCTCTCACCGATGTCGTGGAGATGGACTGAGCCATCTTCATATCTGCAGATAGCAGATGTACGCTGAGATATTGATTTGTTCTTGGATTGGAACACCGCCATCGCTCGGATCAACATGATAACGCAAACTCTGAACTTTTACTGCGATGTGCGAGACCCATCATCGGACAACTAATGACATACCCTGCAAGGGCCATTGGTCGTTGAGTTAGTGGGTGCAGGAACAACCTTACGGACATACACATGCCCCTACCCCCACCCGTAGATCCCGATCCCATACCCAGACTGTCACTCGCATCCGTGTGTTTTCTCGGAGGACTGTCCGTCGGCAACCCGCTGCCGCCCAATTCAATCACACGTTCCTGGCCACTTGCATCGGAAGTCGGGGCTTGAAGTGTGCACATCTCACGCTTTGTACTAGTATCCCATATTTTCAGATCTCCCGGCATGGCACAGGTAGTTGCGACCCACTTGTGGCTTGGCAGATAATCTGCGCGACAGAAGTCTATGGCTCCGGTGGTGATCCAACCGACGACTGCGTGCTGCGCACCTATGTATAGAGTGATCGAGATCACTATACCTTAAGCATTATAAGTGGATAAAATGGAGACCTGAACTTTCCTGTCGATCACACACATCGATTATTAGGACTGGTAGGCGTGAAAGAAACTGTAGTGATTATTACCAGATTCTAACTATATTTGATAGGTAAGAGTTTGTGCTTCTATTGGTTACCATACATTCACACCGGGGCAAAATCAGAACAATGACCGATATAGACTGCGGTCCCGTGAAGTAGTACTACAAGCTCAAATTCCGAAAAGTTAAACACGATAATTTCACGACAAGCCAATTCATACGTACCATGTAGATCCCAAATCTTTACTGACTCGTCTCTGCCCTGACTGACCAGGCGATAGTCGTTCGCCTCGTACCCAGTGATAGATAGCACACCCTTTCCAGCATGCGCATCGAACGTATGTGATGCTCGTCGTCGGTCCAGATCCCATATCCGAATCTGATACAAAATAAAGCGTACATAGGCATGGGAAGGGAGCTGCGGTACTGTACCACATTGATTTCTAGCCCTGCTTGATCAGGCACACTATCTACTTTGAACTGTGATTGGTGATAGACTGAAAATCTATACAATAGTGGGCCTCAGGTACCAAGAGATATGAAATACAGAAAGCCTTTAGCCACTATATAATATTAATACCTGAACCAACCGCAGGTGTATTCGCATCGTCGGCTACGTGCTTTACGTATATATTTTTAGACTGTTGTCGAAGAGCTTCCATAGTAATAGGCCGCTGTAGTTGTGTAAAGCTCTGCAAATCGAAAATTATCCGTCTCTCGAATCGAGTGCACTATACACGATCACATCTGGCAAATTGAAGACCATACGAATGCGGTTTGGTGTGCAAGCATACTACAGACAGTGGAAGCTATCAATGACGCTGGTCCTCATATTGTGATTGAATGAAAACGCCAAAAAATGAATGGTGTAGAAATCGGATTGACTTTAGGATCCTATGAGAGTTTCTAGTACCTTTGACATAGAAATTGTAGCTACCGATCCCATAGTTGTGAGTAAGTGTCTTCATGTTTTATTTCGTACATTATTTCTAATTCAAAACACACCCTAACGCTTTATAATATTACGTACCTCCCCATTTGCATCTCCAGATGCGAGCGTCGTAGTGCTGTTGTAGGCAGAGAATGCTAGTGCTTGCACACCAGCCTCGTGTCCTCGCAGAAAATACAGTGCATCTGGCGCTTTGCCCAGGGTACCACCCGTTAGTACTTTCATCTTAAGTTCCTGATGTATAATCGCCCAGTAAAGATATATATGTATATTTTTTACATGCATAAATGCATCCGCATGCACTTCACTACTTACACAGCATGTAACTCGCGTATCCGTCTCCGCCTACTTGTCGCTGTCTTGCTCTCCAATATCACCAAAACCTACCGGCGCTTTATACTATTATGCACACCGGCTTAAAAATGAGTCACAATCTCCCACGCGATTTTATAGTTGTTGACTTTTTCAAGGCTTTTTATTTATATAATTACACACATTTTTTATATAAAAAAATGTGTTCGGTATGTATGGTGCATACAGTTCGTATTTATTACAGGCAGAAACAGTGGTAAATAGTTGGGTGTGTACTATACCCTGAAGGCAGCGCTTACGTGGTATATTGTCTATACACTGTGTACATCCAGCTGTACAACCATACATAGTAGTGCCATACACTAACTGTATATTTCGAGTACCAATACCTCAGACTCCGACTTTTGATTATCATTACAGTCCATAATTTACATTTCAGTACAAATAGTACATTACTTTCAATCAATATGGCGCGAACCAGTCGCGGTAGGAGCCGTAGTGTGAGCAGTCGCCGTCGTAGTCGCAGTCACAGTCGCAGACGTACGGCTAGGTCAGGCTCTTCGCGTTCGTCGAACTCTTCCGGTTCATCCTGGTCATCTAGGTCTTCACGGTCGAGCAGTCGGTCAAGGTACTTAAATACATTCAACATCACGTTTATGATTTCAAGGTCTTATGCATGATCAATTTTTCATGAAAAATTGTGTATCGATTCATAGGCATATGATATGTGACAGTGCAAGTGAAATCCAGCAGCGTGTACTACATAGATTTGACCTACGTCCTTAGTCGGATATAATTACAAGACTTTGCCTGTG